GTGCGTTATTTCGAGTAAATACGGTATTAAAAACAAATGATATTTTGGAATTATTTATAGAAGAATATTCTAATATAATATTCACGAACAAGAAATATATTTTACAATTCTCAAGTTCTCTTCTTTAGTAAATTCGAAAATAAATAAGCAATATTGCAGACCTTTATTAATTTGTTACGATAGTATCATATGATAACAATAAATCATCAAATCTCCGGATAATTCCTATTTCATTTTCTAATTTAAAAATTTCAACCCAGAAATAGAACATTTTGTACGCCCACTTATTTTCGAAATATGTTAATTTATGCAGTTCGAATCCGTGTAATACTGTAATACTGTAATACTGTAATACGGATTACACAAGAACAAAATCGACCATTCGCAGTTATCTGCATATATTGTCTTACGTACGTACGTACTTTCAGTTATTTTACATATTTTTGAACAGCTTGGATATTGAACAGTTTGAATTGATTGAATAAATATAAAAAATTTTACTATTGAAAATTAAGGCTCTTACATAAAGTTCAAAAGTTTAAATTAATTATTACAACATGACGATAATGCAATGCTTGAGTTATTAAATTAATACAACAAAAACAATCAATAAAGTTTTTATTAATTAACAACTTGAATTTAAGCAATTATAAATAAACATTTTATATTAAAAAATGAATCAAAATGCTGAAGAACTTTATAAACTTGGACAAAAATATATAGAGGGTCGTTATATTGGAATAGATAGAAAAAAAGCATTTGAGTATTTTAGAAAGGCAGCTGATTTAGGACATTTATGTGCTTTAGGTGAATGTTATCGATATGGAATTGGTGTTGAAAAAGATGAACAAATGATATTCGATTACTATCAAAAAGCTGCTAATATGGGTGATACTACAGGAATACGTAAAATTGGAGTGTGTTATGATTATGGAATTGGAGTCGAAAAAAATGAACAAAAAGCATTCAAATATTATCAAAAAACTGCTAATATGGGTGATTTTCGTGGAATACGTAATCTTGGAATTTGTTATCAATTTGGAACTGGAATTGTAAAGGATGAACAAAAAGCATTTGAATATTTTCAAATAGCTGCAAACATGGGTGATGCTGAAGGAACAAATTGGGTTGGATATTGTTATTTAAATGGAATTGGAGTTGAAAAGAATGAAAAAAAAGGAGTCGAATATTATAAAAAATCAGCAGAAATGGGACATATTGTTGCAACAAATAATGTTGGAAATTGTTATAGAAATGGATGGGGAGTCGACAAAGATGAACATAAGGCATTCGAATACTATAAAAAATCAGCAGAGATGGGATATCCTGATGGAATGTATAAAGTTGGTGAATATTACCGAAAGGGAGATGTTGTTGAAAAGGATATAGATATTGCTTTCGAATGGTATTTAAAATCTGCTATCACTGAACAAGTTCTAACTACTGGTGGAGGGAAAAAAGAATTTTTTCGTTGGATGGCGTATGATAAATTTGAAAATATCTCAGAAATAGGCTCAGGAGCATTTTCTACAGTTTTTAGAACCAAATATTTAAATCAATCAGGGTCATATGAAGAAGTAGCAATCAAGATCGTAAAAGATTCTAATAAGGATAAAGATCCATTCTTAAAAGAGGTATTTTTTATTATTATGCAGCCATGCCATGTTATTGACGACTGCATCATATTTTTGTATTTTATGGCATCACCATCACTGTTTTATCTTTTTTTTGTAGCTTAAATTTTAACAATGGAAAAGCTTAAATTGATGACATAAATATACGAATATGGGAAAATATTATAGTCGTCAATAACTATATAATATTTATTTTGATTTAAATAATTTAAATAAAATAATTTATTTTGTTTTTTTAGTTAAAAGCTTGTCATAGCTTAGAACAATATCTAGGAATATCAAGAGACGAAAAAACGGGCGATTATATTTTAGTAACGAGTTACGCAAAATATGGTTCATTAAGCAAAAATCTTGTTGATATCTTTAAGTTTGAGTGGAAAAATAAATTAAAGATACTTCATGATATTATATCTAATCTTGATCGTATTCATGATAAAAGATATTTACATCGAGATTTACATCCGGGAAATATCTTGTTAAAAGAAGATTACGAAGCATATATTACTGATCTAGGTTTATCAAAACCACTTGACGAGACAGAAAATGAAGAACATATTCATGGTGTCTTGCCTTACGTTGCTCCAGAACTTTTTCAAAGAAAACCGTACACTCAAGCGGCTGATATTTATTCATTTGGAGTCATCATGGTAGAAATGACAACTGGACAGAGACCTTTTAATAGTCATAAATTTGATATAGATCTTGTGATTATGATTTGTAAAGGATTGCGACCAAAAATTGGAATTGGGACTCCTAATTATTATGTTGAATTAGCAAATCGATGCATGAATTCAAATCCAGAAAAACGGCCAACTACTAACGAAATTATTATTAAATTAAACGAATGGTTGGAGATTTTGAATGAAACTTCCGAAAATGAAATTAAAAAGCAGTTTTTAGAAAGTGATAAGATTAACAAGAATTTTACAATAATTAAAGAAGAGGAGCTAAAAAATATATACACTAGTAAATCATTTAATACTTTGGAAATCAGTAAAAGATTATCAAAACTAAATCTTAGTAAATCTGTTGGTATCGGTGTGGAAATTCCAGATGATATTTAATGATTAATTTTGTTTTTTTATTAAATATTTTTTTATGTATAGAATAAACTATATCATTTAAATTATTTTTTTGTAAAAAAAAAATATACAGTATTTAAAATTTCAATTATTTAATACAATGCCAATTCTATAATTTGGTAACGACCATCGTCGAACTAGTTAAACTAGTTTATATGGATCTTTGCTATTAAAATGACCATCCGAGGCTATGTTGATTTTGTGAATAAAAATCAAATTTGCCAGCCATCTAGTAATCCAATTTGAATAAACTTTTTTTATTTTGTAAATTTCGATAGAATCTACAAATTAAAAAATTTCATTCAAATTGGATAACTAGATGACTGGCAAATTTGATTTTATTCACAAAATCAACATAGCCTCGGATGGTCATTTTCATAGCAAAGATCCCATATGGTCAAGCTACTAATTCGGAACCGAAATAGTTTAGTTTGATCGGTTTATCATCCTTAACTAACAAAGGAATTATATAAATAGGGATATTGAACAGATTAAAAAAATTAACTACGATTCATATAACGATAATGAAAAGATTAAACGAATAGATCGGTTTAAATAGGTTAAACTATTTGAACAGTATAATAGGGCCCCTGATAATACTAGTAGAGTGGGATTGTTAAACTGGACTTGAATTTTAAAATTTTTTCACAGGTTATGTTTTTTTTAAAAGGGTCTTTTTATGAATAGCGTCCAAAATCAAGGGGTTAAACAAAAAAAAAGGCATTTTAAGTAAATCAAATATTGCAAAACCGGAATTAGTAAATAAAGGAATGGTACTTAAAGTGGTCATAACTTCATTAAAATAAATATCTGAAATTGTAAAAAAAACCAAACATCCGGGGTGTCATCCCAAATTTTGGCCAGCAGTAAGCTTAGTGTAGGCAAAATTCGAAATTACACCCCGGCCATTATTTTAGGAATTTGATTGACTAGATATAGTTCGTAATAATATTTAATTTTCATTTCTAGTTTTTTTTTATTCAAGGTTTTCACCGTGCTCGGATTCCTCTGCAGGCGAGCTCTGTGTAGTCAAAGTTGTGTTGTGATCAAGTTAAAAAGCTTTTTCAAAGCTTTGCCATGGTCAAAAATTTTTTTTACCGTGGTTAGAAGTTTATAACAAAAAAAAAATAGCCATGTTCAAAAGCTTTTTCGTGGTTTGGGGCGTTCTCAAGCGCCTCAATTAATGGGCCAAAGTATGCCGAAAATGTGTCGGGAATTAAATTTTAATTAACTGAAAGTATTTTTAATCGATGAATCGAGTCTGTCATTAAGATAAGTAAGTAGTTTATTTCAAGGTGAGTTTATCATTTCAGTCAAAAAACTTTTTGTCCAAAACCACCTTTTTTTTTGAGCTGATTTATCAAAAATTTATAAAAATTAAAGTGAATAAAGTATTCTTCAAGTGTTTTCATACTTTTATTATGAATTTTCATTATCGACACGCATTTTTTTTAAAATCCTCTCAAGCAGTGATTTGAGATCTTTATTTGATCTATTGCCGAAGTTGAACATCACTACAATTATTAGAAATTCACAAGAAAATTAATATTTGAGCATATCTTAAATAATATCGCCATTCGTATTATTGATTTTTATTCAAAATGGTATAGCTAAAATTACGTAATAATACTTGTGCACCATTTCGATCACTATGAAATCGCATCTAGGTTGATGCTTGAGAACTTCCTTAGTCAAAAAATGCTTACTACAGTTAAAAAAAAAAAGTTTGCCGTTCACTTCAAAAGTTAATTGTTGCTGAAAAATGCACTTTCAACGGACAACAATCAGGTGATTGTATGCGATCCACAAATTTGATATCATTTGCAAACAGCGATAAATGGAGGTATACAGAGGAACTGTTAAAGCTATATTACAATCACATCAAAATCCCCAGTTTAATAAGAATGAAAAATGAGTGATTCAGTCTAATAGGAATTTAAAGAAAGCGAAGACTTAATAATGTCTGACTTCATTCAATAATATTTTAAAGTAAAGACTAATTATACTATGACCAGTCCAAGACAATTTTAAAAACAGATTAATGTTATAACACTGTTCCATGACAATTTTAAAAAAGTAAAGACCTAATGCTGCAATTTTACTTAATGACAATTTTACAAACATGAAAAACAAATAAAAATCAAATAACTAAACCGGAACACTTCATATTTTTATCAATACGAAAATTCCGATTTAAATATTTTAAACACGTGCTAATAAATGAGTGAAAAAGCACGGGTTGTTACATAAGACTCGTACAATAAAAACCTTTAATCTATTAGACATGAAATTGCCAGATTTTCCAAAATTGGAAGCTGTTTTTATTATAAAATCACTAAATTTATGATGTACTCAAACTATACTAAAAGCTATAGAGAATATTGAAGTATATGTATATTATATTAATAAATTATATTAATAAAGAAAGGTATAAATAAATAAAATCAAAGAATCCACGTAAATTTAAAGAATCTATGTATTGTAATACTTTGAGAAAAGGTACAAAATTTCTATAAATGTCGAAAATAAAAACATTCTTCGAATATTTATTTGTCGTTTTAAAAATATTTCTAAATTCATTATAATAAAATCTATTCTACAGTATGTATTTAATTAATTAATCATTGTGTGAATACTGACTGTTTTTAATATGGATGTTTTTCTGAAAAAAGTCGTGAAATAAAAATTATCCATGAATATAGATAATGTTACTACGCCACGAAATGTTGTCAAAGCAATTGGACTTATGAACCATGAAGTCACTGATAAATTAGGATCGAAACCATGATAACGACAGAAACGAGCGATCCGTGATTCTTAAATCATTCTTAAAGTGTGTAAAAGATTCAATATTCTTCCATGCATTTGGGTTTTTAGCAACTTCTCAAACTATTCGTGTCACGTCTTTCTTATAAGGTTATAACACAAACGAGAAATTCTTAGTATGTACTTACGTCAAATTAAACATACATCCATTTCGCCTTATTTACAAGTTTTTTTATTAAAGTCTTGACACATGTATATAAGTTCTCAACTAAATCGACAACTACATTCATCATAGTTTCTGTATTAAAACAATTTGCTCATTGGTAATTGTCACATTCTTTTATTATTTTATGTCATTTAACACTTCACATAATACTATAATAAAAGGATGCAATAAATACCCGCGAGCAGTGTTGTCACATAGGTATTTGGCCGGCCAGTGGCCACGGCCAACGGCCAAATTTTTGAAAAAATTTTTTTGGCCGAAATGGCCAAAAGTTTATATATAAAAACTAGTAATATGATTGGCTAATATTACAAATTTAAAAATTTTTGGCCAAAGTTTGGCCATTGGCCAATGGCCGTTGGCTGGTTGGCCAGTTGGCCGGCCCCAAAAAATTGTTTGGCCGCAAAAATTGCCAACACTGCCCGTGAGTATAGTTAACGAAACCTCTGACGAAGGTCGAAGCCCCAAATTCTTCTGACGAAAGACGAAATCTTAAACTTAAAATGACAAAACTCTAGTGCTCCTAAAAAAAATATATATATATAATTTATTCAGAGATCAGTATCCGAAATTACGTGTATGCCAGCAAAAATAGATCAATAGATCAATTCATTTTTCTGGACAACGCTAGGGTTATTATAAACCGGTTGAAATAACCTTGTTAAAAGCCATAGTACTCATGGAATAACACAAATAATGAATTAAAACATACTGGTACAAAGTAAATTTGTAAGATCACAAAATAAGCCAAGCGATTTCTCACTAGAACTGATATGTGGTGTAGTATACCAGTATAATACAGTATAGAATACTCATTTCTAACCCCTTTAAACAATTCAAGTGCCTATTACACAATAAAATCTTTCGCAATTATAAATTTCAATTTTTATTAGTTTGATTTTTTATTCAATGATTTTCAACAACATTATGTTTATATATTCGTCTTTTATTAATTTTGTCACCTTTTACAGTTTTGTCGTCACCTTTCGTCAGTTTCGCCATTTAGGATTTAATTGACGAAAGACGAAGCTAGGTTTCGTGGTTCGACAGCGCAAAACCTCGAGGTTTCGTCTAACAACTATACCCATGAGTAAACCATTTACCGGCTAACACAATTATAGTTATTATTGTGGCAATCATTCTTTGGATCTTGCATGTTAATGACTCAGGTTTATCTGGCCTGCATACACATTGTATAAATATATTGAAACAATAAATCCTGTTGAAAAAGAAGATAAATTTTACAAAAATTTAAATGAGAACTTTGTTTCACATCATCATGTACTGTAAGTTTTATAATTTTTTTTTACTATTTACTATTTTTTTAAGATTACATATCGATATATTCGAATTTGATTGAAATATCAGATTTACTATTATAGACAGAACATATTTCTACTGAATATAAAAAACACATTAAATTGTCATCCTGACAAAGTTAAAGACAAAGATATATTTTTCTTTTGTATTCTGAATACATTACAAATAATTCTAAGTACATTCTAAATGGTACAGTAATTCTGATTCCATTTTTAAGTATAAATAATTCTATATATATATGTTTTTAAAAAAGAAAAGGCCAAAAATGTGTTTTATCAATTATCAACATCCTAACTGATGAAACCGAGCGGGGGGAAGGTTTAAAAACAAGCACCCAGTGATATATTCGTGGTAATCACATCACCTGATTAAGTGTTCTGCCTACGTTAGGGTTAATGTTAGGTCCGTAACCGGGCCGGGCTACCCAACCCGACCCGATTTGCAAAGGTTCCGGGTCGGGCCTGTATTTTTAGGCCCGTAAGTATTGGCCAGGCTATCCGGTATTTTTAGGCCCATGATTATATTGAGCTGGGCCCGATAGCCTGACCCTATGTACTAAGCGGGTTTTGGGCCGGGTCGTGTTTAAAATAATTTTGTCAGGCTTATGAAAACCTGGCCCCTGCCATTAGACATCATCGCCAAAACAACCACTTAAAATAACCGACTCTTTAGATACATCTAATCAAACTGACAATAATGACAATTACGAAATATGATGAAAATAATTCTATTATATAAAAAAATCCTTTTATAAATATTACGTTTTGATTTATTTTACTATGATAAAAAAATTTTTTAATTAAAAAATTGTCATCTGCCACTAACTATCATTGCTAATTATAGAAGATAAAGAGATAACTAACGAGATAGCTACAAATTAGCTATATAGGATGTATATAAAGGAATTCGAGGCAGGGCTAATGAATGCTGGCCATTCAATAAGTTCTTGATTCACTTTATTTATCGGTATTGCATTGACATATATGTCTATCAAACACAATATTTATATAATGTATCAAGAAAGATCTTATCGCAGTTTTCGAAATGGTCAAAAATTGCAAATAAAGTTTTTTTTGACAAACACTCGAATACTCGATTACCTTAGCATGTTGATTGAAGATTGGTCCTGATTTTGTAATTGTTTAAATTGATTATCAAACAACAGTTAGTCATCTTCAATCAACATGCTAAGGTAATCAAGTGTTTGAGTGTTCGAGTGTTCATCAAAAAAATTTTATTTGCTATTTCAACCATTTCGAAAACTGCGATAAACAACTGACAATGGTCTATATATATTACACAAGTTTAATCCTAATTGAATAGTTCAATCGACCATTCGCAATTATCTGCATACATTGTGTATGGATGATCATCTGAACAGTTTGAAAGATTGAATTAAATATAACAAAATTTTTACGATTGAAAATTATGTGTATTTTAGCCTTTTATATAAAGTATAAATTTTTGTTTGTTTAAAAAGACTCCAGCCCTATAAAACATCTCCATTTTATTACTAGTTCTATTAATAATTAATCAATCTATATACCAGCCTCAAATGAATTAGCAATTTTTAAAAACATAACAACATTTCTCCAGTACATCATTATCTTCTTTGTTGCTACATCGATCATTTTTATCCAAAGTGGTCCACCTAGTTTCACATCTACCTTATCATCCCAGTATTCTCTTATTACTTTTGCTTTCAATGCTAGGAAGAGTCAGCTTTTTGATGGATTAAATAAAATATAAATTGTATGTATAAAAGAATGTAAGTCATCAGATACTTTGGGAATAAAAGAACCAAAATTATTGCTTAAAATATTTGGTGAAGAAAATAAAATTGTTCTCACATATTCTATTTTACTGATATTATTAGAATATTTGATTGCTGATCACCAGTTAGCAAGAACAAGCTTATTGTTATTAGTATCTAATAAAATGTTTTCAGGCACACATCTTAGTGATAAATTCCATAACCATGAATAAATTTTAAGAGCTGAAGGAGCTGTTAAGCATAAGATACTTGAAATTGATTACCAATTTGTTTACAGACTGAGCAAATAATTATTGAATAGTTATTATGCGCAATATAAGTTGGAACATTTTGGATATGATTCTGATTCAAAAATTTTAGTGCACCCATCTTATCATTCGGAGTATGACCAGTTTCAAGAATTTTTATAGCAGATAAAATATTTTCAAAGTCAATCTCTTATACTGTTGAAGATGCATCTTTACCCAAATACCCATTTAAATATATTCTCATATCTCCTGATTGCATCCTGAAGTTAATACTCCTAGGTCCAACCAGACTTGTAAAAAGTGACTTATTGTTGATCAATATTTGAAAAAAGGTATATCCCAGCCAGGATATTGGTTGTAAACTTACTATATTGTTTAGTATTTCTATCATAATCCATTACATAAAAATTAAACCTATCTGATAGAAATATTGCAAAATGTATACACAATAGTTGCTGCTAAATAAGAACTTGAATATAATCTAGCAGTTAAACTTTATATTCATTAATCAATTCAGAATAAGAACTCTTTCTTTTCTTCACCTCTAGAAGTGTATATACAAACATCAAAATATAGGCTTTATTTACTATATTCTTATTAAGAAAAATGCTAAAGTCTGGCTTATATCCTTCAAGATATATATTGGGAAAATGTTGGGATAATTTTTATCAGACTATCAAACCAATCTTGAACTTCTTCTAATACAGTTGGCGCAGAATAATCTTTTATATAGTTTTCTAAATTTCTATATTTACCAATTTTACCAAGTTGATAAGGTTGAGAATGACTTTTACTGAAGAAGTATTCATGATTAATTATTCTAAAAAAGATATTCTGGTATGCTTTTGCACATGTTATGGAGTCTAAGATATACAAATATGGATTATTTGTTATTATAAATAGAAGTAACAAAGGTTTGTATCAGAAAAACCAGTACCTGTCTCATGACTTTGAACAGAAATAAGTCAATTTATTACTTCTAAGTTTTTTTTCATTACTTCTGAGTTTGCGATTACAATATTCTCAATATTCATTAATAAAGTAGCAAGTATTGAGCTACCTAACACATCCTAAAAAGATTTCTGTAAATATAGTATACTGAAATTATAGTACTTTATACAGTCGTACCTGGGTTATATCTCTACTGGGTTATATCCCCTCTTAATTATTACCTTAGTTATATCACATATTTTGACAGAATAAATTTCTTTTTTTTATATATTGAGTTATATCTCAACCTTAGTTATATCTTCAAAAAAATTCAAAACATATAAAGACAAAAAGGGGTGATATAACCCAGGTACGACTGTAATAACAAACATACCATTTAGCCAAAAAGATTTAAAAGATTTTTCACAGAAGCTAAAAATAAAATAGCAGAGAATGTAAAATTCAAATTTGTTCGTGTTAACCAAATTATTACAGTATTATTAGCAAATATAGAGCAAGAATATAACATACCAGATGTGGATATTAAAGTTCTCAAGTAATCATGCTTTTCATCATCTGTAGTGTAGTTAGAAAGAAAAGATATGACAAAATTTATTTTTTCTGTGTTTTCAGTTAAGTATTTTCTTAAGTTGACTAGTTTATATGATTAAGCTAGTTTGCATTAGAAATTACTGTGATTTTTACCATGAGTTACTATAAAAAACTCTGTTATAAAACTCATTGTTCTTGTAATTGCAAGTTAGTTTCATTGGAATTACTATAGTGGAATTATTATAATTCTATCATGAGTTACTATAAAAATCTAGTCACAGAACTTGGTGACCAAGTATTAATTAAGCTTAAGTTAATTCATTAGCAAATTTAATAGGGTGTAATATTGCGCAATAATTTACAAAGCATAAGAAAACTGTAATATTAAATAATAACTTTCGCAATATTGCAAAATATATAATTATGAAATATTACATAAGATAATTATGCAATATTACGCAAGAAATAATGCAATTTTATACAAAATAATTCGAAATAATTCAAAACAGATTAAAAAAATTAATGTGAACTATAAGCGCAAAATAATTCGAAATAATTCGAATTATATTAAAAATGTTTAAAAAAATTAGAAATAATTAGAATTAAAGAGCTAAAATTTTTAAACGACAATATTTAAGAATGAAACAGATTTAGATAAATTACTATAAACTATAAAAGAAAATTAATTCGAAACAATTCGAATTATATTGAAAATGTTTGAAAAAATTAGAAATAATTGGAATTAAAGAGCTAAAATTTTTTAAACAACAATATTCAAGAATGAAACAGATTTAGATAAATTACTATGAACTATAAAAGCAAAATAATTTGAAATAATTCGAATTATATTGAAAATGTTTGAAAAATTAAAAATAATTGAAATTAAAGAGCAAAAAATTTAAATACAATATTCAAGAATGAAACAGATTGAGATAAATTACTATAAACATATGAGCAAAATAATTTGATTTAATTCAAATTATATTAAAAATATTTAAAAAAATTAAAAATATTTAAAATTAAAAAGCTAATATTTTTAAACGTCAATATTCAAGAATTAAATTAGACTATCACTGAATTTTATTTATAAATAAAATATATG